TCCTATATATAATATAATGGCATAGTATTTTCATCTAACCTACACACATCCTCCTGCACACTTTAAATCACCTCTAGATTACTTTGAAGCAATCTGAGCATCAGGTAAGTGAAAAGGAAAATATATAAACTTAGTCAGCATCTCTTTTAGGGATCCAGCTCTTCCCTATTTCATAACCACTGTCTGGCTGACTGCATTAGCGATTGGTTGAACTCGTAAGTACAGATGGATGACTATACATATGGATTTTAATGTTATTCCTTCACTTTTAGTGCTTCATCAGCTCACTACTGCCCCCTAGAGGTTCATCACAACTGGTTTAGGGTTATTTATTCCCAATCTCACTTTGCTTCCATGTCGGGTTCTCCCACTTTTTTTTTTTTTTTTTTTTTTTGGAGAGATTTTCACTGTAGGGCGCGTGCGCTCGCCAGACAGACAGAGAGAGACATAGAGACAGAAAGCGAGAAATCACCCCCCAGGGGGGATGGTCACGCCGCAATCCCTTCTCCTCCATTCTCCTCTCGGGATCTTGGGCATGCACGCACATGCGCCCGGCGTGAGTTTTAAGCCACCGGGTCCGGGACACGAACCGCGGTCGACTACGTGGGAGTCCAGCGACATAGCCATTACGCTAACTGCTGGTTCCCGAGTCTACCACATTCTGAGCTTAACCATAACTACTCTTTTTCTTGGGAGGGGGGGAGAAAAAAGAAGAGTCATCTGACCCAAGTTCACCATAGCAGCTCTCTCAGGACCTCCCGCATCAGCCCATTCCATACTAAGCATTAGACTTCGTACCATCCTAATTACCACCTCAGCCAGCTAAACTGCAGATGGGCTGCAGATGGGCATGAGAGGGCCTGGATATCAAAATCTGCCATCTACCCCGAATCTATATCATTTATTTTTGAAACTTAATAAATAAGACCCTCTGTGAGAATTAAAATTTTATCTAATCCTTTGAAAAAAGACATGTTTGAAAAAATCATCCTGTATCGTTACTACAGCAATGATATAGTAAACATTACAACACTTACATACCTTTCTCCAGTTCCACAGGAAAAAGTTCCAGCTTTTCTACACGTTTTTCAAGTTCATACTCAGCTGAAGCAGCCACAGGGACAACTTCATCATTTCTCCTGTCATAGTCTTCATTGGAGTATGTATTGAAAACCTGTGGTAACAGATCAACAGGAAGATGATAATACAGAAAAGATGGCAATTTCAAATTAATTAAACTAATTAAAATTAATTTTAATTTCTTCTAAAAAGCTGTTTTGCCTTTAAAATCAAACGCGATGTTAAAAAAAAACTGAATGTGAATAAAAATAACTTCTTACTTTAAAAAAAAGTGTGGGGGAACCAGCAGTTAGCATAATGGCTATGTCGCTGGATTCCCACGTAGTCGACCGCGGTTCGCGTCCCAGACCTGGTGGCTTAGAACTCACGCCGGGCATGTGTGCGTGCATGCCCAAAATCCCGAGAGGAGAATGGAGGAGAAGGGATTGCGGCGTGACCATCCTCCCCGGGGGGTGATTTCTTGCTTTCTGTCTCTGTGTCTCTCTCTGTCTGTCTGGCAAGTGCACGCACCCTATAGGGAAAACCTCTCAAAAAAAAAAAAAGTGTGAATAAGACAACCTCTGTAGTCTAAGGTTAAAGAAGCCAGATCCCACATGGTCAAGCATAGTTCAAATCCTGGCCGCAGTGGCTTGAAAACATGTACGTGTGTGCCCCAAATCCTGGCAGAAGTGGAGGAGAAGGGATTATGATATGACCAGACCACACTGGGATGTGCTTTCTCCCTTCCCCCTTCTCTCTCTGCATCATTCTCTGATGAGCACATGCAATTAAAACAGTAATAATAAATAAATGGCATGGATCATTCTAGGGACCGGCAGATGGATAATGACTACGTCACTGAACTCCCACATAGTAGGCTGTGGTTCGAATCCCAGACCTGGCAGGTTAAAACTTACATTTTAAGCTGACTGCATGAACATGCAGGCCCAACATCCCGAGAGCATGGAGGAGAAGAGATTGTGGTGTGGCCACCCCTCTCCCCAGCCTTTCTGTCTCTCTGTTCTCTCTCTGTCTTTCCAGCAAGCTCACGCAAGGTAGATAAACTTTATGTATCTATTAATAGCAAAAAATCTCTCTATTAAAAAATGCATGAGTCCTTCCATCACTTTTAATAACTTTAGAGATAACAGTAGCCATAGAACACATTATTTGCAGAGCAATATTCATCACCTTTTCTAGAACCAGAATATACTATATAAAGCTACCTAAACAGCCACACTGAACCTGTTTTATGGTATGATGTAGGTAACTAACCCTGAGGGTATAGCATGTTGATTCTATAATATTCCAATCCTAGAATCATTGACACTGATTTCTAGCTTTTATAATCCTGGGTTAAGTCAAAGTGCTCTTATCTGTCATCCCTCATTTTACTTGCATGTAGACTTAAATTACTTTTTTGTGTGTAATCTTTCTGTGAAATGACAATTAAAAATTGCTCCAGAGTTATAAAATAAATAAGACATTAACAGCTCTTTATTTCTGACCTAAATCATTCAAGAGACCACTAAATGTATCTTCATATGTAGTCATAAGAAACTTGATTGTTCTGATTTCTGCTGAAATATGTTTTATTTGAAAGGGAACTAAAGTACTGGGTCATCAGAAAAATGCATGACATAGTTTTCTGTTTCTATGCAAAAATGCATCATGACTTTTCAGAAAACCCAATAGTTATCTCATTCCTGTCCCTAATACAATGAACACTATTTTAAAAGAAAAACATAAAAAAGAAAAATGTATACTTATACTGTTACATATTAAGTTTTTAATATGTAAAATAAAAACATTTTCAATGAAATTTAACAGTCATTAAGCATCTAAACTTTGCCTTAAAAAAACTTCATGTAAAGGGGTCAGCACTTGGCATACTGATTAAGGCACTAGAGTTCCACATGGCTAACTGCAGTTCAAGTCCCAGGCTGGGTGGTTTGAAAATCACACCAGGCACACGTGCAGGCATTCCCAACATTTCAAGAGGAGAATGGAGAAGAGACTGTGGCACAGCCATCCTCCTTGGGGGTAATTTCTCACTTTCCCTCTCTCTGTCTCTGTCTGTCTCTCTCCGGTGACCACACATGCCTTATGGCAAAAAACTTAAAAAAAAAAAAAAAAAAAAAACATGTAAATATCCCTGAAATATCTAGTAGTGAATAGTGTTAAATGTATGTATCCATGTGCATATACATAGAAGAGAACAGAAGGTCAACAACAAAAGAAATGAAGTCTGCTGCCTACAAAGCAGGCCCTGCTAGTCCAAGTATGCTTTATATTCATGTTATTGAAAAACTGGAAATTCTTTGTATTCCATGTACACTTACTGTAAACCAAGAATACATATTTCCTATACAGAAGGTGGACTTGACTTGTCAGGATTTGTACCTGAGTGAATACTGTTATTCTTCATGGCTTTCAACATGTTTTAATATCTTCATGCCAATTGGACGCTTATTTGGCCTCTGCCAAGTTTATCTACCAGAGTAAACATTACTACATCAAAATGCATGTTTCTATACTATAGTTTATACTTATATCTATCTTTTCAAAAATAATCTTTCTGTGCTGATGCCACAGAACCCTTTAATATTTTTCTTCAATTGCCAGACATGACTTTGACTTAGACAGTCCTTTTCTCCATTATATTTTTGATAATCACTGATTCAAATATATTCATTCAACAAAAATTTATAGAATACCAACTCTGTCAGCATTGTGCCAACCACTGGAAAATGTAGTCTCACACAGTTCATAGCTTAGGAAGGACACAGAAATATAAATAAACAACTATAATATAATGTGGTAACTGAGACATCAAAGGAATATACAAGTATTTTTTTAAGAATTATTTTATTTAACTTTATTTATTTATTTATTTATTTATTTATTATTTTAATTTGACCAGAGAAGGACAGAGAGAAAGAGAGGAGAGGGAGAGGGGGAAAGTAAGAAAGCAAGCCATCAAGTCCGGGACTCAAATTGTGGCCGGCCATATGGGAGTCCATCACCCTTAACCACCACACCACCTGCTGCCCCCCAATATTTTTTTTGGAGAGGTTTTTGCTATAAGGCACGTGTGCTCATCTGAAAGACAGAGAGGCAGAAAGCGAGAAATCACCCCCCCCAGGGAGGATGGCCAGGCTGCGATCCCTTCTCCTCTTGGGATCTAGGACACTCACGCACACACACCCAGTTTGAGTTAAAACCACCAGGTCCAGGACTTGAACTGCAGTCGACTACATGGGAGTCCAGCGACAGCCGTTATGCCAACTGCTGGTTCCAACTCCCCAAGTAATATTTTATGTGCCTGAGAAAAAGAATAATTTGGTAGAGGGGAAGTTATTTGGGTCGAGTCTTAAAGAATAAACAGGAATTTGCATAGTGATTGAAGGAGCAGGATCTTACATGACTGACAGAACAGTTCAAATTTCAGTCTCAGTGACTTAGGAAAAACACCAGAATCATGTTAGCATGTGAGCAGAATCCTGACAGGATAAAGAAATGGAAGAGAAAGGATTGTGACATAATGGTGCACCACTGAGGGGATGCTTTGTCCCTTTATCTCTCTGTCCCTCTCTCTCTCTGGCAAATGCATATGCCCACTGGCTATTTAAAAAGAGAAAAATAAAACTAGAGGAAAAAGTGGCAGCTAGTGAGGGAACATGAGACAAAAGACCACTCCAGGCTTCTTCCTACCTCTCAACCCATCCCAGGTTAGACCCAGGTGCACCTGGTCTCAAGAGACTAAGAAAGGAACCAACACCTAAAGGTGGATATATACACTCTCTGACTGGACAACAAGGACCTCTACCAAGAACACACTGGAGAAGTAGAGTTCTTTCCCTGACACTTTAGAATAGATAAATAAAAGCAGGAAGTAGTGTACAATCCTTCAGATGACTAGAAACTAGTGCAAAGGCACAAAAAGTATGGGAAAACAAATGGAATGAAACAGAGTAACTCTTCTTCAATGGAACAGAGCAACTCAGAGGAACAGAGTAACTTTTCTTCAATGTAACAGAGTAACTCAACAAAACAGAGCAACTCTTCTTCAACCATGGATAACACAAAGGAATTTGCAGGAATGTCAGAAATAAGAGTTCAGAATATTTATGGTGGCAGAGATGAGGAAGTCTTTCCAGGATTTGAATAAAGAGATAGACGCCATAAAAATGAAAAAAAAAAATCAGAACTCCTAGAGATGAAGAAATGCAAGAAATTAAGGCCTCCCTCAAAACTATTAATAGTAGACTGGACCACACAGAAGACAGAATCTCTGAGCTGGAAAAGAAAATCTTTGACTTAGATAAAACCATGAAAAGTAAAGAAAAACATAATTATTAAAAAAGAGGACAAAATATGAGAAATACTAGATACTATGAAACACCCAAATATTTGAATAATAGATATTCCAGAAAGTGAAGAATCAGACAAGGGCATAGATAGTCTATTCCATGAAATATTTGCAGAAAAACTCCCCAAACCTAGAGAAGCAATCAAACATCCAAACCTAAGAAATACAAAGAACCCCAAATCAAATCAACCCAAGATCCTCTCCATGGCACATCATAGCTTGAATGACCAAAATCACAAATAAAGACAAGATACTAAAAATGGCAAAACAGAAACGTCAAGTTACATACAAAGATTATCCCATTAGGCTAATATTGGCCCTCTCAGAGGAAATAATTCAAGCAAGGAAAGAATGGAAAGGTATATTCAAAGTAAACAATTTCAACCAAAATGACTATACCTGGCAAGATGATCCTTCAAATGGGAAGAAAAGATAAAAATATTCTCAGATAACAAAATCTGAAAGAATTTACCTACACCAGATCAGCTCTTCAAGAAGTTCTGAAGGAAGTGCTAGATCAGAAAAACTAGAGACAGACAGAAACAAGAGAACAAAAACGAACCAAGAAAATGGCTAACATAATGGTAGAAACAAGTCCAGAAATATCGATACTAACAATGAATGTTAATGGATTAAATTTTCCAATCAAGAGACATAGGTTTTCTGGATTAAGGAACAGAAATCCTCTCTTTCTTGCCTACAGGAAATGCACCTCATGGTACATACATAGACTAAAAGTGAAA